GTTCATTGTGGACAAATGCAAGGTGCTATACCTTGGGAGCAATAGTCAAAAACACAAATACAAAATGGATGACACCTGTCCAGATGGCAGCACTATGGAAAGGGACTTGGGAATCTTGGTAGATCACAGACTCAATATGGATCTGAAGTGTGATGCAGCTGCACAAAAAGCAAATGTGGTTTTGGGCTGCACAAATAGAAGCATTAGGTGCAAGATACTGGAGGTGATAGTGCCTCTCTACACGGCACTGGTTAGCCCTCATCTGGAGTACTGTGTGCAGTTCTGGGATCCACATTTTAAAAAGGATGTGTAGTAGTCCAGAGACAGGCAACAAAGATAATAAAGGGCTTGGAAAGCAAGTCATACAAGGAGAGGTTGAAGAAGCTAGGCATGATCAACTTGTGGAAAAGGCATTTAAAAAGGGACATGATAGTAGTCTTCACGTACTTGAAGGACTACCATAAAGAAGAGGGAAAACACCCTTTCTCTCTTGTTGCAGAGAGGAGGATATGGATGCTTGAAGTTGCAGCAGAGTACATTTAGATTGGGTATGTGAAAAAAAGTTATTGTTAAAATAGTGAGGCAGTGGACTAAACTGCGTAGGGAAGCTGTGGACTCTCCACTCCTCGGGGTGTTCAAGGAGAGGTTAGACAGCCACTGGTCAGGGATAATATAAGCATAACTATGCCTGTGTTCCATGGTGCTTCTGGGTTTTGCTGCTGTTCTTTTTCTGCTACATGTGTCAGGGTGTTTTTAAGTCTCCCTCAGAGAAGATTTGAGATGCAACTATCAAGGGATGTAAACGGCAACAAAACTCTATTCTACAAGTATGTCAGAAGAGGAAGATCAAGGAAAGTATAGGCAGAGGGCAATCTAATATTTAGTATTGTATGATGTGGTGAAGGCTGAAGTATTTAATGCTTTTTTTTACTTCAGTCTTTGCAAAGCAGGTTAGTTATCTGATGATGAGGGCACTTGGCAGCAAGGATAGAGAAGGACATAAGCAATGTAGAGTACTGGAAGAACAGGTTAGGGATTACTTGGTGAAGCTGGATGTTAAATCAGCAGGGTTGGGCGGGATGGATTCTAGAGTACTGAAGAAGTTGGCTGAGTTAAATTCAGAGCCATTGGCTATCATCTTTGACAACTTGTGGAGGACAGGTGAGGGCCCAGCTTCCTGGAAAAAGGCATATACAGTCTCCATCTCTAATAAATGGAAAAGGGAGAATCCAAAGAATTACACACCGGTCAGTCTGACCTTGACATCTGCAAAGATCATGAAGAGGGTCATCAGGGAGAATTTTAGTACCTGGAAGGGAACAAGGCAATCAGAAACAGGCAACATGGATTCAAATCAAGTCATGCCTCACCAACCTGATTTCTTTTTATGACAAGGTAATGGGCCCTGTAGGTGTGGGGAGAACAGCATAAGTAATATATCTTGATCCTAGCACAAACATTGATGCTGCTTTTTATGATATTCTCATTCGTAAGCTAAGGAGATATGGACTAGAAGAAAGTACTGTAAAGTGAATACATAACTGGTTGGATCATCGTGCTCAGTGAGGAGTTATCAGTGGCTTGATGACCTGCTGGAACTGAGGTATCAAGTAGGATTCCCCTGGGGCTTGTCCTGGTCTGGTATTATTTAACATCTTCACTAAATATTTGGAGGATGGAACTGAGTGCACACTTAGCAAACTTGCAGGTGGTACCAAGTCAGCTGGAGGTGCAGACACTGTAGAGGGTGCAGCTAGGATCCAGAATGACCTGGATAAACTGAAGAAATGGTCTGAAAGTAATCAAATTAAATTCAGTAAGGACAATGGCAAAGTCCTGTACTCAGGATGGAACAGTCACGTGCACAAATACAGACTGGGGCATGACTCTCTTCTTCGGTTCTACAGGGAAGGACCTGGTGGTTATAGTGAACCATAAGGTTGCACATGAGCCAACAGTGTGCAGTTGTTTCAATAAAGAAAGAAAGAAAAAAGCCAATAACATACAGGGCTATATTATTAGGAATGTCACTTGTAGGTCAAGAGAAATGATCCTTCCCCTCTGTTCAGCACTGAAGCCTCACCTGAGGTACTGTGTCCAGTTTTGGCCCCAACTCATCAAGGAAGATTAGACAAATTAGAAAAGGCTTAGCCGAGAGCAACAAAAGTGATTTAGAAGTCTGGGGAACATGCCTTTCGAGTAATGACTAAAAGAACTGGGATTATTTAACTGAGAAGATAAATTTGATAAGTTTCCAAATACCTGAAGGGTACTTGTATAGAGGTTGCTGGTAGACCATTCTGTGTGGTCATAAGAGACAAGACAAGGACAATGGTCTTAAATTGAAACAAAGGAAATTTAGTTTAAATCTTAGGCTTTCTCACTGTGAGGGTGTGTGTGTGGTTAAGCAGTGGCACAGATTACTTAGTTTATGGAATTTTCACCCTTGGAAGTTTTTAAGAGCAGATTAGATGACCAGTTGTCTAGGTTGGTTTAGACAGGGATGATCCTACTTTGAGCAGGCTATTGGTTTAGATCGGGGTGTCAAACCTATAACCTGTGGGCTGAATCTGGCCTGCAGAGGTACACTATCCAGCCTACTAGGCTACCAGTGGGGTACCGGAAGTTGGAGGTATGTGGTGGTGGTGGCAGAGCATGCAGAGACAGCAGAGCATGCGGCAGTGGAGGCAGAGGAGCACACGGTGATGGCAGCAGCAGTGGAATACATGGCTGGGGCTCCCCTGCCACATCCCCCATGCTGGAGTTGTCACTGGAGCTGAAGCTGCCATCGCAGCCCAGGGTGCACGGTGGTGACAACTCCAGCTCTGGCAAGGGGCATGTTGCAGAGCCTAGAGCCACTGCCACGTGATCTGCTGCCTCCACCGCTGCCATGACTGCCACATGATCCGCTGCTGCAGCCACCACTACCACTACATGCTCCTCTGTCACCATGTACTCCACTGCTTTCACTGCCCCATCTTCTGCTGCCTCCACCGCTATGGCATGCTCCACTGCTGCCACCACTGCTTCCTTGTGCTTTGCACTGAATCTGGCAGTCAAGGAGCCACATGGTCCAGATCTGGCCCAGGGCACAAGGTGAATTCTCCTGGGGGCCCTTCAAGCCCCACTATTTTCTATCATTCTGTGCATTTCTGATTGTTGTGCTAGGTCAGTGGTTCTCATCAATTTTTATGCACAAGGCATCCCTTGTTAGACTTGAGGTCTACCTGGAAAATGCCAGCTCCTAGTTTTCACTGATTTTTTTGACAATGAAAAAATAATAGAGCAATTGTTCTGTTGCAGAGCACTCAGAAATCACACAACAGTTCTGGGTGTTTTTTAAACTGTGGGTTCCTATTTGAAATCTTTTGATTATCTTGTAAATCAGGTTTCCACCTCTTAACAGTGCTAACATTGCACGGTATCTCACAGCACTCTTGACAGGATCTCAAGGTACCCCAAGGTGCCAAGGCATCCTAATTGAGAATTACTGTGCTGCGTAGACCACGTTGCTTCTTGTATGTCTGACCAGAAGCATGTAGCTTACTATAGCAAAATGCTAGTAAGGGTCTGAATGAGACTCGCAAATAACTTGATCTGAACTTCTAGCCAAACATACACTGAATAATGGGAAGTCTTTGCATCATATATATAAAAATCCACACATCCTTAGGTACAACAGATTGTGATAGAGGGAGAGTTTCAATTTTCCATCTACATTTTAGGTTTTTTGTCAGTTTGAGAGGCCTTTAGCAACATTTTTTTTTATCCCATGAAATTCTTTGAAATGTTTTAGGGTAGTGAAAAGCAGGGCTCTTCTGGGAAATATACAGGAACTGAGACAAATGTATCATACTTCACCCTTATTTTTGTACATTTTACCCAGTATTTTTTGTGTCACTTGTGCAACAGGCTCCTTCAAAATCGTTGTAGCCTATTGTGCAAATATGTAGGGAGAGATATTGAAATGTTTTTTTTTTTTTACCTAGCACAGTGTCTGAGCATATTCTGAGACATTATTTCACATGTAAATTCATAATTGGGCAGTTTGAAAAAACAAAAAGTAAGTAGTTGGCTTGATAGACCATAATAGCATCCTAAGAGCTGTAATGTTTCTTGTGCAGTGTTTTTCCAAGGACAGCAGGTGTGATAACAATCCTTCTCAATTTATTTTTTTGTGAAATGGCTGCACAAAAGAAATTGCATCTTGCAGCAGATAAAAATCTTTGCTTTTAAAATGTTTTGAGAGGGTGAAAGATTTTTGCCTGCTAATTTACAAAATGCTGTATAAAGGGGACCCAAGCCTATAAGGGCTAGACTATAATGGGAAGCTTGATTTTGAATGGATGTGAGTTGGAATGATTTTTCCTGCTCCCAGGACAGGGCTGAAAATGGGACTGTTATCTTATTCCACCTTCCCTGATGAGCAATAGGTTATTCTTTAAACAAGTTCTTTAATTTTATGCAGTAATGAACTTCAGGTGGTTAGAAGCTTAGAAGCATGGGCTTATTGATATTTCTGTTACTTAGTGAGTAGTTAGCAGGAGATCAAAACAGTACATTTATAGTCATTTAAAGTGGGGTGGGCATGATTTGTGTGTGTATATAACAAAAGAGCAGAAGAGGCAAGGAGGAGCATGGTTTCTGGATTGCTGTTTCAGCAAGGTCCTGTTTCTTAGCTAAGCCTACATTGCTTTTCTGTTAAACTCAGGGAGAAAACTGACTAAATTGTCTTTTAATATGAGCTATTAAGAATTCCTTCTAATAACGGGTTGGAGGATAAAGAATAGAACTGACAGTTAAGTAGGCTGAAAATCTAAATCAATCAGTGACCAGTAGGTAGTATTGAGTAAGACACAGAAGAAATGAATGACCCAAAAACTGATCTATCGAAATAGCAGTGTGAAAAGTTATTTGTATTTTGCTGCTGTTCACCCACTGTTTGCATAGACAAGCTTGGCCAATTTCCATCATAATTTGCCTTTTTTCTTTCTGTGTAGGTGAAACAGAACAGGAGCTGGGACCCCCTCCATCCGTAGATGAGGCAGCAAATACACTCATGACTCGCCTGGGCTTCCTCCTTGGAGAGAAAGTCACAGAAGTACAGCCAGGGCCCCAGTACAGCATGGAGGTGCAAGATGAGAATCAGGTATGAGATCTCCTGCATCTTCTGAGATTCGGAGAAGCCATTTTTAGGGCTCTGATTATGATGCAGTACAAAATCTTTGTTATGGTGTCTTATTATTTTGTAACTATTATTAATTAGTTGGGGATGAAGCAATGATGGATTAATTGTCTTAAGAAGAGAAAGGTAGTACTGTCCCTGTGTTAACTTGTGCATTATCCTTGCACTGTAGCACTATGTATTTCAGGGATTCCTTGATATAGTATGTAACATTTTCTATCATTTTCCCGTATGAACAACAAATTTCCAAAGGGACAGCAGCCTCTTTCACCAGATTGGTTAAAAGTGATTATATAATGTGTATTTCCAGAGCAATTTAAGGAGCAGCCTTTAAAGCACTTGGATTGTATTGCATGAGCCTCACTAATCTCAGGTAGGTAAGTATAGCTACCCTTGCTTTATAGATTTTTACCTGATTTGCTCATGTTTAGATAGTGAGGTGATTCATGTCTGAAAACAGACAGACAAACCAAAGCACGATGGCTTTATTCTGGTCATGCTCTTATTAAATTCAAGTCATACTTTTTAGCTATCTGGGGAGCAGAGCAGCATCTGGACACACACTGGGAGTTAAATTTACTAGGAGTTTTGTCCAAGTAAGGACTTGAGAACACAATTCCCAAGTCGTCTCTCCTAGCCCCTCTCTAAACAAGAGGCTTGCTCCCTGCATCACACTAAGAATAACATCAATACATGCTGAGGTCACTTGGTGTAGTGGGGTGAGAATGAAAACCAAATGTAGAGAACCTCTTTAGTAAGAAAGGCCCATTGGTTAGTGCCCTACCTTGGGACTCATCACACCCAGGTTAATTCCGTATTCTGCCACAGGTTTCTGTCCAGACTCTGCTCCCCCTATTAAACATATAAGTTGACCTAGGTATCTATGTGTGATTTTGTTTCATCCTGTTTTAAGTCCCTGAAAACCATTTAATGCAAAAGGTGGCTTGGTCCTCCTCCCACTGCTCTCCACGTTTGTGGTCACTCAATCTTAAGGGCCTGATGATGACATCAGAACAAAAGTAACTGTATTAATGGATTCTCAGGGGTTTGAACAGGGTGGAATAGAATCACACTTCAGCATCTAAATCCACTTAAATGCCCAACAGGTGGAACAGAATCTGGGCCTCAAGGGCCAAAGTGTTACTTAGATTCCTAATAGATGGAGTAAAACCTGGCTTATAGCATCTGCCTCATGTCCCCACTTATAAAATAACGTGTCACTGCTGCACCAGGGAGTTATTAAAATAAATATCATATAGACTCACTTGCTCAGAAACAGTTAATGAGGGCAACATTACTACCAGAGACAAAAATGTTGTAAACGTGTATTTTCCTTACTTACTGGCTGAAATTCTTATAGGCTGGCATGTCAATGACTTGCCTTTGAGCTAAAATGAAAAGTCTCTGATAGGTTTAACTTAATAATGAAGTAGCAAATGCAGGTGCCCCTCTGAGGTCGAATGGCCATTTCTTTATTATTCTACTTCATCAAGAAAGACCACCTTTCCCCTCTTCTAGCTCACTACAGCTGAAGTTTTCACCAGCTTGTTTAGTCCTTTTTGTTTGCACAGCCACTGTACAAGAATTGGGTTAAATATAATATCATTTTAACTGTGGAAGTCACTACTGTATTTTAACCTTTCCTGAATTTGGTAAGGTATAAAAAGGAGTTCCTGGCAGCTGCATGAGAAACGCTGGTGACAGAGCAGACATGGAGGGAGGAACAGGTAGATGAAACATGTGGATCATTTGGGATAGGTTGATAGGGGTGTTTGCAGCCAGACTGCTGGATGTCTGAAGGAAAGAATGACAGCTATAGATTGGCTGTTCCACGGTGCAGGGAAGTTTTTTTCTATCCACAGGAGGTGAAGAGGTGAGCTCGCTGTAGCAGTAGTATGGTATGGTATGGTATGGTAGGAGCTGTTGAGAGGACTTGGCTCAGTTTTACTAAAGAGTACTCTCTATCACTGTTTTTCAGCAGTCTGATGGTACATGTGGGCTAAATAGTTAATGTGCTTTACTACTTAGAGCAAAGGAAATTTATTTTTGTAAAATGTTTATTCTTTAACACATTCATTAAGCTTTTGATGATTTCATTTACTTTTTGCTGTAAGTTTGGTTGGCTGCCTTTGAAATGCCCTGTACAGTACATTGTACTAAAAAGTGTATTTTTAACAGGAACTTATTTAAATTGAATACTTCAAAGCAGAGCAGAGGCTTCTACTATAAAGGGATACTTTTGTTGTTGCCTTTTTTTTTTTTTTTTTAATTAAAATTCCATCTTTTCTCAAAAGCAAAGAAGGCTTGTGAGAACAAGTGAAAGAAAATATCTGAACAGAAACAGCAGTGACAGTTGCACTCTGAAGCAGATTGATATCTTGGTCTGTGAGTTAATTTCTGCACAAAAAAAGTTTTATAGGCCCTTTGGAATACCATTCATGTACTTGAAGAAGCTACTTAGTTAAATTTGTCTTTTATGAGCAGTCCTGGCTGTCAGTGCCACGTAGTTCCCTAGCATATACAGTGGAAGTAGGGAAGGGCAGTTTAAGGGCTGTCGCAGAGTTCAATGCCAGTCTTACTCTTCTGCATCTACTGACTATTGTGGGACAAACATTTGTCCCAGCTTGTCCCACTTTTGCTTCTGGTTCCTTGACAGGGGGAATACTTCCCAAAATAAGTCCTCTTCTGTGTAGGATTCTTTTGTGCTGTAGCACACAGCTATGCTCCAGGCCCTGCAAGCTGGCCCTCCCAGAGTTAATTCTTCATCAGCTTTGGGGAAAACACAGCACACTTTATCGACATTGTAGGACATTGTTGGAGTTTGCAAAGCTTAATTCTCCTATTAATCGTGTGCTGACATCTGATTGAGACTTTGGCCATTAGTTTGCATTTGAAATCGGTTTTCTTTTTTTAGATTTTAGATTTTAATTCATTAATTTCTATGGCTTGAGCAGGGGAAGACATGCCTGTATAGAAAACGGGGACCAGGGTTTTGCTTGCTCTTCTAAACAGGCTGTGCTCTCTGAAGCGAGACAATAATTATTTACAATCTCCCCAGTGGTGAGGGGAAATGGAGATAAGGGACAAAGGTGTTTTCACTTAATCTGCCCCAATCTGTAAATCTAGCACATTGTGCTTCCAATAATGTTCTTTATTTTGAATGTATCAAGGGGCACACTTTCTAATCTAATTGCTAGGAAATTGCATATTTTTAGTGCTGTTTCTTTCCTAAGCATGCTTTCCTTAATGAGAGAGTAAAACATTTATCTCTTATTCTTCAAAACATTGCTTTCCCCTTATTGACTGCCAGTAAAGCACAAATGAAAATGTGACTATGGTACTGCAGTTCAGTTTTTCAAAAGCTCATGTCAAAATTTAACATTATACTGTTAATGCTGAAAACAAAAAATGGCCTATAAGTGGGAATGTATTTTTAACACTGACATAGAGGAACACATGATGATTATATTTCAATGTCAATAGAAAAATCTGGGTTGTAATCCATATAGAACAATGCAAAGTAACATATTGAGGTTTTGAAGATTTCCATTTGCTAAGCATTTTGTTCTTAATTAGCAGCATTAATAGCATTATGAATGAAAAACTAGATAAGAACATTGCTTGTCAATACTTCTGGCACTTCATAAAACAACAATGTGATAGTCAGAGGGGTGTAAGCTGGGGTTTTTGTGGGTGATGTATTTTATTGGACCAACTGTATGTTTGCATTTGAAAGGTTGTCTAACTCTGTAGCCCCTAGCAGATGTTACACTTAAGACATGATTAGTCTCTTAATTGTGTCTTACAGGATAACCCCACCACACGTTTGGCAATTAATGGTGCCACAAAAATGTTATACACAAAATGCGTAATATTTTTGTGGCTGTTTTCCATCACACTTTAAAATGAACATTTGGCAGCACTGGAGTCTCCAAACCTAGAATGGTTAGTTAATTGTCAGATGAATCTGGGACTACACTGGGGCTCCAGCTAGCCCCAGGATGGTCCCCAGCAGCTAACAAGCAGGTAGCTCTGGAACCACACTGGGGCTCAAACCAGCCCTGGGGCAGGCCCTGGAGCCAGGCGACAATCAGCTGATTTTTGGGTACCTGGCTTTCAGTTTTCAGCAAGGGAAGCCCGGGATCATGATCTTGGATTCTCCCTGCACTGGCAAGTAGGGTGTGAATGGAATCTGATCCCCGATCCCAAAATTATGTGTCCTACCATGGATGTGTGGCATAGCAGGAGGCACAGTTGTTGGGATCAGGGATCAGATCCCCTCGTGCCTTTAAATGAATCAGTCAGCAGCCTAGCTTAGCAATGCAGTTGGTTCAGTAAATGATATCACCCATAAAAAGTTTGGCCTCTCAATAATATTCATTGTTAATACTACTACTGCTAACAATATGATATTTATATGTATCTCTTCATTCTGAATGATCCAAAGGTGACACTTATGGGTGACATTATTTCAGCTAGGTAGGACTGTAGCAGGGATGGGCAATTATTAGGGCTGAAGGGCCATTTAATGAGCACTTGAAGATCACACACACGTGCGCACATGTGCTCCCTGCAGCTCTTCCTGCACCCCCTCCCCGAGTCCCCGACATGTGGCTGCGTTATATAGGAGTCATTCCAGCTGCTCCAGCTGCACCCACAGATACCCCACGTTTCCTGACCCTCTTCCCTCTGCACTCTCTCCCTGCCAGCAGGAAAAAGCCTACTCGAGCTTTGAGTCTCATTAGGGGCTGGGCTCTCTGGTCAGTGAATGGCCACAGGGTTGGAGCTGAGCACAAATAGCCTCAGCAGGAAGAATCTTGGCCAGGAGGTCAGTGCCCCCTGCCTTAAAGCGTACACAGAGGGCAGGGCATGGTGGGCTAGGATGGGGTGGGGAGTGGCTGCTTGGCCTCTGGAGAAAGGCGAGGGGCACCAAAAGCCAGGGCAGCTGTGGGCCACATAGAGTT